TGGACTTTCAGTCAGACAACTCACGTGTTTCTTAATATGTTTATTTGAAGCAGCATATAGTTTGAGTTTGGCGTCTAGGCTCGGGCATCATCACTCCACAGATTTACAAAGAACATTGAGTGATGATTAGATAACTATCCCCCGAGCCTACAGGTGGAAGCTGGGGTGGAGCTGGGGTGGTGGTGGGGCAGGCGAGCAGCAGCAACATGAAACACAGCAGCAGCAACATGAACGCAGCAGCAGGAACATGAACGTATAGCAATAGCAAGTGAGCACAGCAGTGGCAGCAGCAGCATAGCGAGGCAGAGGCAGGAAGACCTGGCAGCTTAAATAGAGCGGCATGTTTAGGAGAATGTGTTTGGTTGGTTGTAAGAGGGACGAGGTGCGTCACGTGTTAATGTATCATTGGTGCTCGAGTTGACTGCCTGAACTATAGCTCGCAGGCTTCGCCCCATTTGTTTGTACCACTGACTGGATCTGGTGCTAGACTCAATACTTCCATATGTCTCTGAACGTAAACCTAACCCTATATCTCAGAGGAAAAAAAAAGTAATCCTAATCGGGAAAATCTGACTGCTACACTGGAAAAATTGAAGCATTGACTTTAATTAAAAGTATTATGTCAACAGATTTCACATAACTGTATTACGTTAGTTGAAAGCAATAACATTAAAGGGGACCTATCATGCAAAATGCACTTTTGTACGTCTTTTCTACATGAATATGTGTCCCCGGTGTTCCAGGGAACTCACCAAGTGTCAGAAAACACAACCCTCTCTATTTTCCTCCATACCCAAATCTCTAAAAAAATGGGCTGCAACGGATCTGATAAAAACTGATCCAGATTTGAACACTGTCCTGACGTCAGGACGGTGGCGCTACGGCTATTGGGCCAACTCCACCAATCAGGAGGAGACAGCCACGGCCATTGCCGTTCGAAAGCGCTGGAGACGCTGTAGTACATATGCCAGGCCAGTAGATGGTGCTGTTCTCACAGAATCTGCCCTTGCAAAAACAGAGCTAAAAAATGTCAAATTGAGCAAAATGAGGCATGGCTAAAATGCATGATCTGTTTGGTATTTAGAAAAAAAAAAAGTATAAATATGCCTTATATAGGTATGGTCCTACACTATATTATTCAAATATAGCATGATAGGTCCACTTTAAGTTAAATAAAAATACTAGGTTCAACTTAATATTGTTGCTTTCAACTAACCTAATACAGTAATGTGAAATGTGTTGACATAATTCTTTTAATTCAAATCAACGTTTCAGTTTTTTTAGTGTAGATAAAAAAATCCAATAATCTGCTACGCCTTCTTTGGTTGTTGTTTTGATTGAGAGCCCCCTGGTGGCACGAAATAACATAGTGTACATTTTAAAGTTCTTGTTTAAAACCTGCAATAGTTCCTGAGAAAAACACAGCTTTAACATCTCCTACTGCGCGATACAAAGACTTCCTGTTCTGCTCTTCTGACCGTGGGGATTCCTCCTGGGTCTCAAACCTCCCTGGGATCCAATCTAAGGGTTAGTTAGTCAGTGCCCTTCCTGTCATCCCTCTGGGTTGTCTTACTATCTCTGGAGGAAATGATACGTATGGTCTCAAACGATTACCATCCATCATATAGGCCTGCTTCCAAAGACCTACCATGAGAATAATAATGGTGTCTGTGAAACGATGGCTTCACTGCCAACGAAACATCAACCACCGCCTTTCTGATCTCATTAACCTCCAGGCGACACACCCGCCACCACACTTAGTGTAATATCCATATTCTCTCCACTCCAAGGCAATGTGTTGGCAGCTGTTTAGTGTGTGTGTGTGTGTGTGGGGGGGGGGTGTGCTGTCAGGAGCAGATATCAGTTCCCCCGGGGTTTGTCAGTGACCTTGAGCTTCTCAATGAGCCTCTTTTTCATATTCAACTCCCATAAGAGCCCCTTCATGAACTGTCCTCATTATTTCTCCTTCATAGGTCCGTTAGACGCTCCCCACCTGTAGATGATGGATAGATTTTGTCTTGATCTTTGTGTTTCCTTTCATCTTTACTTCGCTTTGTTCTGCATATCAAATCACTTGGCTCTCCGTGACAAAGTGAGACTGTAAAGTAACACTTCTAGTATTGTTCGTTCTAGTATATTGTCACCACTGCTGGAACTCACTCCAGTAACTACTGTGACTTCTATCTTTTGTATTTTCTAATATATACTGTAACCTAAAAGTTGCACCCGATATGTAATCATTGTCATTTCATTATCTGTTGCTATTAAAGCCTGCGCTCTTGTGGGAAAGCTTTTCTCCAGATTTTGGAGCCTGGCTGCAGGGATTTATGGGATTTGCATTTTGTTGTCATTGCCCAGAGTCAGCAGAGACAACTAAATGCAGCTTAGCGAAACTACCGAGTGCAAACAGTAGGAAAGTGTTTATAAAAGTATATCAATATAACTGAATGATTCTAAAAGATGAGAAGAGGAATACAAATATGCCAATATAGAGTAGAAAGCACAAATCCCATGAGATGTTATATGTACAATATGAACAATAAACCAGTTGTAAATAACTACACAGAATCCTTTTATCCAAATCATTTAAGGGCTAGATTGCTAAATGACTAAATAACAAGTCATGTGACCGTGCTGCAGTTCCTTTACAGCCCAACGTTAGCTTTTGACTTCTAGAAATGTGCATTAACGCTTAAAAAATCCTAAAAGTGTTGATAATACGTGGATATTATCCTTCTAGACACATTGCTTGAGGCTGATGTTAATTTCTTTGGTTCTCTAAAATCCATTTTCGAATGCTTTTGACTTCCAGTCTATACAAAGAATTCAAAGTGGCTTTATTGTGCTTTTTGGGGGCTTTCCTTTTCCTGTAGTGTGGTATATACAGCAGGTTTTAGTGCATGTCTAAAGGCTAAAAGCACTTTTTGAACATTAAAGAATGTCAAAATGTCAGAGTAGAGGCACTAAATACAAATGAACCTGAACATGAGCAGAATAGGGCCCCTTTAAAAGCTAGGGATTCACATAGACGTTATTTAAAAGGACACAAATCAAAGATATTGGAAACCACAGCATTGTAATCACCCTGTCATGCTCATAATGTGATCCTTACTCCCAGCAGAGACCAGTGCCCTGCATAGAGGTCACAGCATTATATAATATAATCCATATTATCCCGTCCTCGAGCCTGAAGTGATTATTCTGGGTCAGAAAAGAGCTCACCAAAACTCCATCGCCTCATTTTCAGATACGAAATGAAGATCTGAAGTTAACGCTCTCTCGTTGGGCGGTGCATTGACTCATCACTCAGCACCCTCAAGCAGATATTCCCTTATCTCTTGTGACTTAATAAACAGTCATTAACGGTAAATTATGATACATCTCAAAGGGTTTCTAAAGCCTGCCGACTTCAAAGAGACGGTGCCTTTTCAGCGAGAGGCTTTGATGTAATGTGCATGCAGGGAAGTCTGAAATCTGTCAGAGGATTACGGAGCAAAGGAGCATTACTTTTATATCTGGCTCCTGCACATACTTATATCTGTGGAGGAAATTAAATTACGTAGATAGCATTTGGTGGTAAAATTGTTTTATTGCCGTTCACAGTATAATCAGCATTTAATGATTTCTTTCTTACTTTTTCCTTTCCTATGAAAACATGTAAAGTACATTTTACAGCTTGGACGGCGTGTAGAAAGTTCAGAGTGCAAGTTAAATGTGTGAGGAATGAGAGCTATATGTATCCACAGCTGTCCTCTCACACTCCGTCTAAACTGAGAGTGTGTGAGCCTCTTCTTGGCAAGAGCTCAAATATTTAATCTGTGAGTCGGGGTGTGAAGTAATCAATATATATGCAGTACAATAGAGTCTCTTTATCACTGCTTCTCGTCTGTGTTTCACTGAGTGCTTCTCCATTAATCAATAGATGTTTGAATGTGCCTCCTCATTATTATGGAGATACTGAAAGATGGCAAAGTTCAAGCCCTGTCACCTTTCACTTTTCTTTTGGTATTTCAGGAACGCCTGAAGGGAATGTCTTCAAATGTGTCAGAAATGTTGACTTGGACTCATGGTTGAACTGTTTTGATTTTGGTGGTCAAAGGTCACTATAACCTAATGACCCTTCCATTCCCGAGAATGCCCTTTTTTTAGAACTGCCTTGAAGAAATGTATTCATTGACTCAAGGATTAACCCATTACACTTTGGTGGTCAAAGGTTAATGTGGTCTCAAGTCCATGCCATTCTCACAAATAGGATATCTCAAGAATGCCTAACAGGACTTTCTGTAAAATTGGCACAAATTACACTTTTGTTAAAGCCTAATGTACAACAACTACTTACATTATATACTGTAACATTTGAAACTTTACCAGTACAAGTATCCGTGCTTGGTGTACTAATTATTGCTCCCTTGTGTTTTCATAAAAGTCTCTATTTCATGTATAATTTCTACTTAGTTTCTCCCCATGTTTGAATCCGAGAAGCACCAACAACGATTGTAAGGCATAGCGGTGAGAACGTATTTCTTCTGTCTTTACAATTGCTCTCTTACTGTATATTTCGGTCTTCTTTAAACTAACTTGAACTCTCATCGCATGTCAAAATACTGCACCAACATTGTCTCTCACTTGATCTGCACTGCCTGAAGTAAGTCTGAAAAAAGCATGAACTTTCTGGTGTAGTAATCACTGATCTGTGAAATAAAAGGTTGGAGGGCCTGAGTGGATCCTGCTTGACCTCTCTAATTTAAAATCTACAAACACAAGTTACTCATTTCACCACAGAGAGCAAAAGGCCTGCCTCACAGCTCACATTAACCGTAAATATTAGAGTCATGCATACAATGTGCTGCGTCACTAAAGTATTTCTCTCGGCATCCCAGCTGTTTCTCCTCGCTTTATTCTGGCGGTTACTTCGCCTAAAAATATCCCCCCTCTCTCCGTCTTTTCTCAGAACCCTGCCCTCATACACAACAAGTTCTTATCTTCAGGGACCATGACTGCAGAGGGGTGTTACTGCTGAAGAATACGAGTAAAAGTCGGGTGTAACCCACCACTACAAGTACAGCATTATATGGATCAAGATCTGTCTATTGTTAGCTAAAGACACCGTGGTTTTAGTTCAGATTAACCTGCCTTTTTCGAGGACTTCTTATAAGTGTGGGGTAAGTAATTAAACATTCATAGATAATTGTATTTCTGTTTGATTGCAGACATTACTTTCAATCAATCTAAATGTGGCTTAGATTTGATGTCTTTTTCAATAGTTTTTACATTTTCTGCGGTAGCTGTTGCAGGAAATCAAGTGTAGTTGGTAATATTGGTCAAAAAAGTGCAAACTGTGGCCGTCCTGAAGTGTAAAACTGTGGATTTGACCCTCAAGCCTTATTAGCTGTGGTGCAATATCTTCTTTTACAGTGTGTCACTTAAGCAATAAACTCATTCCTTACCACCTTAAAGGATTTCTATGGAAGCCCATTTGGAAAAAGTTAGGGTAAAACGTTGACATTTTTTATGAATACACCTTCACTCAGCTACCATTTGTTGAGGTGATTGATACCTTACTTATGTCTGTACAATAAATATACAGCTACAGCCAACAGTTTATTAGCTTATAGCATAAAACTGGTGGAAACAGATAGCCTGTCCGGTTAAGAAAATCTGCCTACAAGATACAAGGTAACTGCTTGTGATTTACTGAACACTCTTTTCTTGTCAAGGCTGTAAAAAACCTTGGGCTGTGATATTTTGTACCCATTGTAATCTCTTATTTCCAGCTGCTTCATGTTAAAAATGGACCACTGTTGTGTCCCACCCTCATATCTCGTCATGTGTTATGACTTCTGCTCACTAGCCAACGCCTATAGATGCAGTGTTCTGGGTGGGTCACTTTATTATGACTCTGATTTACTCTCAAGTTGTTTTGTATGTATGTTGCATTTGATGAACAGAGCTAAGATAGTCTATCCTATTGGAGGGAATCTTTAAAAACCTAGCTCCAGTGTCTGTCTACTGAGAAAAACTGCAACAAGACTAGTGGTGTTGACAGAAAAGGACATTTAGACATGAGTTGGGGATTATCTGGCATCACATTGCTGCAGGGCTTGCTTTTTTGAAACAAACAACACATAACAACCCACTTTATCTATGTACTCCTGTGCTGCATCGTGCACATTTTAACACTAACACAAACAGCGTGCAACACATTTCTGCTTTCTCCAAACACACAACGCCTTGGGGCAAGTGCATTGCTAGCGGCAGAGACAAACCATTTCTATTGCAGTGTCATAAAAATACAACAACCCTTGCTGATGCCTACATGTGAGGCAGTTTGTCACTTTTTTATTCAAAGCTATTTCAAGGAAATGTCTTTTTGTGTTGATTTTGGCCAGTCCTGTGGACAAAAGTGGTAGTGTTACCTTGTAAAGAACACTGCATTTCTCGTTAGCATCATTGCTAAGTGAACTCAATACTTTTTCAACTTAAAACTGAGCTGTTTGCAGGTTGCTTACTGTAGCTATTCAAACAACCCAGTCTCACGGCATTTCGTGTTGTAATCTATTGATTCGTGTTCACTAACACGATTTTCCCATTTTTTTCGTGTCACACAGAACGATTTTAAAAGCAATGTATTTATATTGGTAGTATGTTTCGTGCCTGCACCAAATAATAACAAATTAGAAGGAAAAAAAGATTTAAAAAAATACAGATTTCTCTACTTTAATTTGACCATCTCTGTTATTAAGTTATGGAATACTAAATAAATAAGTAATTAGATACCTTACCGTTACTGCGCTCATAAAGAATGATAAGAATAAGAATAATGCGTATTGAACTGGTTTCATTAATTAGTGAGTTTATTTAAGGTAATTATAGAAGCCCTATTTTATCAGTATGTCTGCACAGCAGTTACAATGGTCAAACTACATTGAATTGTCCCCATTTTTTTTACTAACATTAGATATTTTAATGAGATATGGACCGCAAAACCAAAAATGTCCCTGGTTTTCATTTTAAAAATCAAGTCACCGAATGCAAGTACAGTAGTTGCATTAGCTTATTTTGTTATGACTGTTCAAATTAGTTAATGTAATAATCGTTTTGGTCTCATATATTTTTTCGGGGGGAGGCCCTTTTTCCAGTTTAGAGCAATAGCCCCTCCAAATGTCTGTGCACGTCCCTGGTGGGAATAGAAAAGGCCATGTCAGGTTTCAGGTTGTCACTCCTACTCATAACCAGCCATGAGTGACAGATTGTGTGTTAGCTCCAGGATCAGGGGTTTCACAGACACCTTTTCACTGTCACTTTCACTCTGACAACAGCAGCCTTACCCATCACCACAGGCCTTGTTTGGTCTGTGGAGAAGACAAAATGACAGAGGAGCTTGGGGTGCATCGTGTTTGTTTAGGTCATGTCTCTGTTTTCTGTGGTGGACTGGACGCTAACAGGGATTGTACAATCTTAGCTAGCATCCATAACAAGGCTCAGCGGGTCTGTTTCTCATGCTGAAGCAGAGCATACAGTATGGGGCTGTAGTGTGCGTGATATTCTATATCCAAAGCATTTAGAGGACAGTGTCTTCTTAATTCTTCAAGAAACACAGTTTAGAAATGGATAAAACAGTATATTTATGTGCTCCAATGTTAGCTGAAATCATTAGCATGTTTGGCTAACTAGCTCTATGCTATCAGGCTAACATTAGCCGCTCTTTCCTTATATTATATTGGGGGTAATGTTGGCTTTTTAGCTGCCTGAGAGTTAACTTTGTAAGAAAGTAATACATTTGACAAACACTCAAGTTAATCCACACACTAAAAGAGATTTTTGGTATAGTTGAAACTAGAAATAAACCTTTTAAAATACTAAGTATGTAAACTAGTGGGAACATTATGGACCTATTAGCTTTAGTCTTTTAACATGATATCATGTTTACCGAGTAAAGACCAATAGTTTTAAAAATGACTAAAAATGATGGTGGTTAATCTGACCCTGATATTATATGAAACTGTTTATAGTATTAATGTTGCCTGCGTGAACTGAACACAAACTTAGGAAAGAGCCTCACTGGGTTTAATGATTAATGGAGACTGCTGAGATAAAATCCTGAAACATTTACTTTTCTCACTGACCTTTAGGTTGAACTTTTTCTTGCTTTTTCTTTTGTCTCATAGAGGCAGTACTACGTGGCTCAGTGAAACACCCCACGAACGGAAGCAGACGATCACTAAACAGCGTGAGTGATTTTTTTAACAGCTTCATTCAATCACAATTTTTCAATATCAATATACAGACATTCATGATAAGGAGGACTGACACACTTGTGGTTTTAAGTCTATTTATTCTGCCCTCTGCTGGCACCTAGATACTGTATGCAAGGTTTCACGTCTAAAGATATAATGTGGCATGAAGCAGGCAGTACAGTATTTTCGTCACAGTTAAACTTCTATCTTGACCGTGACGAGATAAAATAAGAGGCAGCCATGTGACAGCTAATGTGATGGATTATACCCAAGGACACACACACACACACACACACACACACACACACACACACACACACACACACACACACACACACACACACACACACACACACACACTACTCCCAATGTTATTACAAATGAAATTATATCAACAGCAAATTTACGGAAATTAAAGGTCACCTATCATGCTATTTTTAGGCAATAGCATAGGTCTCAGATATATAAAAATATATGTCTGTATGTGTACATGTCTATGAAGTGTTTTGCTCCAAATACCAAACAGATCACCCATTCTAGATTTTGGGTATAAAGCTTTAAAAAAAAAAAAATTATAACAAATAAAAAAGGAGGGGGCTGAGCTCATGCGGGACTCGGCAGCTACTGTCTAAACTAAATACTGCCGTGATGAAACGCCATATCATGGATTATCAAGGATTATCTCTGAAACAGTATGGAGCTCAAAGGCTTTCTCTCTTGCCGGTTATACCACAAGATCAGTTCCTTTTTATTTCCTGCTTCTTCACACACATGCTCTCCAGTACAGGTTAGCTCTGAGTGTTAGCGATGCTAATGTAAACACCGACCATATTACGTCCAAAACAGTCGGGCATTGTTTCTGATAGCAACGTTTCTGATAGTGCCGTGGGTCTACATTTCAGATATTACGTCATATCGGACGCAAATCTGGATCAGCTCCGTTGTAGCCCCGTTTTTAGAGATTTGGGTACGGAGGAAAAGAGAGAGGGTTTTATTTTCTGACGCTGCGTGAGTTCCCTGACACCGGGGACACATGTTTATGTATAAAAGACATCAAAAAGTGCATTTTGCATGATAGGCAGAGATATAGGTGCAATTTAAAAGTAAATAGCATTTATATATTTAAGATTTGAGACACTTTAAAGGCAGCACCATAAGGTAATATCTTCCCAAAGGCTGAACTTTAAAAAGAAAGCTGTACTTCTGCATCTGCTGAATATGAATAAGAGAACAAATTAATCTTTTAGGTCAAAAGATGTAAATGTTATTCAGTTTGGCCTCGCGCCACATCCCAGGCAGTCGATGTGTTAAATAAATAAATGTTACAGCAAAACAGAAGAATAATCTGCTGGCCTGTACAGATGGGATGCGAGCGCTTTGAATTATGTTTCATGAATAAAAAATAGAGAACATTCCTACCACATTATGATTCATCGCTGCATGAGTAAACACAGAATTTTACCCTGAATTTGGTGAATAATGAAACAGATGTCTTCTTTGTTTTCAATAAGTCTTCACTAATAACATTCAAATAAAGACTCAAGGGCTTGGTTGTCATATGCACGACAACAACAACAACTAGCAATTAATATCTTAATAAACCGTGCATAATGGTGAGGTAAAATCAAATACTGTACAGGAGAATAAAATACCTTTTATTTTAATATGTGGACTAAAAACAGATGCGTGTGCTTCTGTAAAAACATGTCAAATAAGATATTTTGATATCATTTCAGCCTACATTCATAATATTCTTTGGCAAATACATCATAGCACATCATTTTATTCTTACAACCGACTATATTGGTTACATCTCTTATAGTGTACTCATATTTATTCATCGTATTTCACACAGTGTCAATACTGCTCTATAGTGTTACTATATACTACTGTCTTTATAATACTGTTTGTACTACCTTTGAACTACTGTTAATATTGTTTATACTGGATATACTTTAGCTTTTTTACATTTGTCATATTTATGTAAAGGCTGTCACTTTTAACGTGTCAACGCTCTGGATTAATCTGGAAAATCTAAACGTGTTTTTTTACCAAGTTTGACCCAAAATCGCTCCCCTAATTCCAGCGTGGATGTTAACCATGAATCACATGGCCGTGAAAACACAAAGACAGTAGAGAAAGTTGCTCATGATACTGCACTGACTCCAGACCAATCTCTCTTTGGGGATCCAAAATACAAGTAGTATTTTAAACTTGTGATTAACCATGATTAATTAATTTACATTGCTCTGCACTGCTTCTCTTGCACTTGGTAATTGCATGTCACTGTCCCAGTACTTTGTCATATTTTGTGCAAGGGGACAGGGTTACATCTAATCTAATGTTCCTCTTTACTGTACAGCCCCGATTTAGCTCTAACTAAAGGCATCCAGCTGTAATGTCCTCTCGATGTGACGGCAGTAAGCTCGCTCCAACACTTATCTGATGATGACTGTGAAATATTTATGGCAGGGTTACGAGTTGAGGAGGGGGAGGCATGTGTTTAAAGTTGCAGACTCAGTGTCTGTTTTAAGTGTGGCACCGCAGAGAGCACTTAAATTGTCTCCTCACTTCTTGCCCGCAGGCACTGAGGAGGACAAGGTAAGAAACGGTCATTAGCTTAGCATCAGCTTCCATCCCCTCTTTGTCACTCTCATGACTACGCCTGTCCAGAGTCTATTCTCTCCCTCTGACGGATGATAATTTGCCATAACTAAGTCTTTGCATGAAGAATGGTAATTTAAATCGGGGTGACAGAATGGAGCCGAGGCTGAGAAACAAGCTTACCCTCGATCTGCTCACATGTGACTCCTTCGTTGCGTTAACTACAAGAGGGTACAAGTTTAGCCCGACCCCTTCAGACTGTCTCCACCTGGTGCAAAGTTTAAGAGTAGTAATCATTGTATACATTGTAATATACAGGTTATATACTGTAGCACAATGTGCACGAAGTAGTAACCACGGTATATTTTGTAATAAAAAGAGATATATTGCAGTTCAATGTGCATATTTTTATTGAACTATAATTTAATGTTTATATACATATTTCTATTCTATTTTATCTTGTTTTTATTGAACATTTGACTCAGCTTTTTTTGCAAGTTCTTAATTAAACTTCTCATGTTTATATAAAAAATATTTTAACTTAATTTACTTTTATTTAATCTTTTATTTGACATTTTTACTTTAAAGGGGACCTATCATGCAAAATGCACTTTTTGATGTCTTTTCTACATAACTATGTGTCCCCGGTGTGTCGGGGAACTCACGCAGCGTCAGAAAATAAAACCCTCTCTCTTTTCCTCCGTACCCAAATCTCTAAAAACGGGGCTACAACGGAGCTGATCCAGATTGGCGTCCGATATGACGTAATATCTGAAATGTGGACCCACGGCCCTATCAGAAACGTTGCTATCAGAAACAATGCCCGACTGTTTTGGACATAATATGGTCGGTGTTTACATTAGCATCGCTAACACTCAGAGCTAACCTGTACTGGAGAGCAAGTGTGTGAAGAAGCAGGAAATAAAAAGGAACTCACCTTGTGGTATAACCGGCAAGAGAGAAAGCCTTTGAGCTCCATACTGTTTCAGAAATAATCCTTGATAATCCATGATATGGCGTTTCATCACGGCAGTATTTAGTTTAGACAGTAGCTGCCGGGTCCCGCATGAGCTCAGACCCCTCCTTTTTTATTTTTTATCAATTTTTTATTTTTTTAAAGCTTTATACCCAAAATCAGCACTTTTGAAACAGGAAGTGAAATAGAGGGATATGAGGCATGGCTAGAATGGGTGATCTATTTGGTATTTTGAGCAAAACACTTCATAGACATGTTTTTTGTATTGTTGTATATATCTGAGACCTATGCTATTGCCTAAAAATAGCATGATAGGTGACCTTTAAATTCTTATGTTTATATAAACATTTTTATTTTATTTATGTATCCTTATTTTATTTATCTTTTATTATACTTCATTGTAATAAATAAAGTGTTCTGTTTAGGTTCAGATTCAGACAATTGAACTCAGCTGATATTTCAGTAAATATAAAGAAGTGTACCGGTGACTTTAGCCCCAAACTTCACAAAACATTTGTTAAGATTACTAGGAAAAGCAACATTTGCATTCATGCTAAAGTCACGTTGGTACAATCAAATCTCCATGAAACTGTTTTATTAGCGGAGATCAATTAATATATAGCACCATGAAACTTCCCCCAGTTGATTCCTTTCCATGATAAATCATTTTCTGTACACAAAGGCTATCTGATTTAAAAAAAACAATATTTAATTAAAGTTAATATATAAAATATCTCCAGGACTTTTTTTGTGCCTTATTATCAGCCAAAGTATAACATATTTACTATATAAATGGAAAAAGCCAAAGCAGAAAAAGCCTATTTTGCTGTAAACATGGTGTGGTTCATTGTGTATACTTTAATTTGCAAATGATTAACATGGGTAGAATAATCTTCTTTTTAAATTGTACCTTCTTCTTACCCACTACTCAGGGCTACAGCTTCCTTACATTCATTGTTAACTAGCTTTCAAATAGAAACCCATAAGGACCCACCGTGACACGGGTGTCACATGAACTTTAAATGTTCTGGAAAGTTCCTTATACAGCTTTAGCCTGTATTTTATCTCATGAAGTCCCTGAGTGACACACACTGAACAGTCTGCTGGGTCATGGGCCAGGTCATGTGACTTTGTGTTCCCATGACAACATGTCCAAGAGGTCCATGTGCCAGACTAACACATGTAACACAACACACCGAACGAGCTACATTTCAAAAGCTTTTTTGTTTGTTGCTAAAGGTAAAATTCAAGCCATTTAAGAATTAAAATTCGTACATAACATGTCCTTTATTACATTTAACCTGTTGTGGAAACATGTATTGATCAAATTGATATGAAACAAATGAGACAAACATCGCTGTGACACTGGTGTCACATCGGGACTTCAACCCTAAACGTTCACAGTAAACCCAAAGTGACATATATGCACAATTAGAAATATTATTATGATCTGCTCAGTTAATTTAGCTGATTCAATTATATTTAGTTAATATATTCTTTATTCTTCAATTCAAAGAATGTTCAAACTAATTTAAACCAAAAAATCATCCTCATTAATTAAGTTATAAATAAGAGTTACTTTACCATTAAAGCCCAATGGGACATATATACGTCACATTTCAGATATTTGACACTAGGGGGGGTTACCTGTCAGAAATGTGTTCTAGGTGGTCTATTTAGTTTAAATTATGTTCTCCTTAATTTCCCCAAAAGTAGAAATGGGTCCGGGTTCTTATGGGTTAATACGCCACTTAATAACACACAGTACATTTTCTGTTTCAGTGAATAAAGAGGGATCACTTCTCCAGAAAGATGGCACAAAGGACGTTTCCTGAAAGTGGGCAAGATGGCCGTTCAGGTGAGAAACAGAGATTATTATAAGTCATTGTAAATGTCAATTTTCAGTATTGAGGATTGTGTAAATTGGCAATGAGTATACAAATACATATATTCAGTATTTTTGGCTTAAAAAGTCCTGTGACACTTCCGAATCAGAATCACAATACTTCATTTATCCCAGGGGAAATTGGGTTTTGTAACAGTTGCACCAATTGAAGGATGAAATAAATAAAAACAATATTTTTAAAGAAAATAGTTATTAAACATGATATTTTAAAGTAGCAATGTGCAATAACAAGACTACCATGAAATTAATTAAAACGTATAATATTTATTTGCACAGTTTAAAAGGTTCTTCAAAGGTCTTCAAAAGTTTGACTACAGCCCGTTTTGTTTGTGTGACTAAAACAGCTGAAAAAACCCACATTGTTTAACCATGAATCATTATAAACTAGATAAACAGAAATGTAGGCTACAAAAGTTATTTGTATTCAACTCTCTCTTCTCCTCTTGCGTATGATGACCCCTTTATTTAAAGTCACTCTGCCCCCAGGGTACAACTTAACATCGGTACAGACGTAACAGACTCAGAAAATGTTATATTTACTCACTTTGTTATTTCTGTTTGTTAATTTGTTTTGCCCGCTGGAGTAAAAAGCTTGCTGTGTTTGTCTTTTTGTGTCTATATACTTTCTATTGTGCCGGATCATATATAGTGGAACCTTCTGCTGTCAGGTTACATTTCAACAGGAAGATAAAAAAATCTAATAAATTCATATCACAGATTTTAAGCATCTTTTATTGATAAGGACCCCTCCATACTACAGTATTTGACACTTCCAAAAGTCAAACTACAACTTTATTACTTATTTTTTCCACATTTGTACCAACTAGTTTTAATGATTTTATTAAAATGTTTGACTTTACAATTATTTTGTATTATTATCGTTTTTATTATTTGTATTTGTTATTAGTATTATTGTATATTTATCATTATTGTTTTTATTTCTTTCACCCTAATTTTCTTGTGTTTTAATTTTATTCTAAAATGGGGATCACAAAACCTAATTTCCCCCACCTCGGACAAATCAAGTAATCTGATTCAGATTATTATTATATATTTATACAATTTATATATTCAATTTTTAAGATAAGATAAGATAGAGGTTTATTAATCATAAATCATAAAATAATAGTTTAACAGCAAGAGGGTAAGGATGAAAAACAGGACAGCACAGATTGATACAATTAAAGAGAAAATCAAAGATACAAATTAAAAATGATAAAATAACTATCATTTAATTCCACTTCCATCTCTTGTGTTTTCAGTCCTGGGGATGTTGTCAGTGCAGGTGGAGAGAGACCCTAAGACCGGGGCCACCGTTATTCGTTCCGTGGCCCCTCTGTCCTCCCCATCCGGAGCGACCACCACCGTGTTCGACGACGGCAGGAAGAGCATCCACGCTGTCGGAGGATCGGGAAACCAACCCTCGTCCGAAGAGCTCGGGCAGATCTTAAGTATCGTGGACGGAGTTGGGATGAGGGTCCTGCTGGACGAAGTCACGGTCACGCCAGAGGAGGTAAAGATGAAGAATGAAGACGCTAACAAAGCTCCGAAGGGAAAATTATTGTCTGTTTTTAGCCGTCAAAACGAGGAAGAGACGCCGCAAGACACCTCGAGAAGCTACGAGTTTGATCTGAAGACACAGGAATGTTCTGGAAACAAAGAAGTGGACAGAAGCAACACGTTTGATCTGAAGACACAGGAATGTTCTGGAAACAAAGAAGTGGACAGAAGCAACAAGCTACGAGACATTCCCGGAGAAGTCGATAACGTGGAGGATCTGAATCTAGAAGAAGGCCCGGTTACTTTGGTGTTTATGGGATACTCTGATCAGAGCCAAGAGGAAGACGAAGGTCCGATCACCGTGGAGCGAGTGATGATCAACGAGGAAGGGGAAGAAACCGTCTTAGGACCCCAAACGCCCCAAAAAGAGTCCAAAGAGTTTCAGGACATTCCCCTGGATGGAAACGGAGTGAAAGTCCAAGGAGAGGAAGCCGACGAGGGGCTGCATGATTCATCTTCCCCCAGTATAGCAGAAGGTGGAGGCACTCCCAAGCGTAAGAGCTGTCAGTGCTGCTCCGTCATGTGAGGGGGGGATGATGGAAGAGAGAGACTCACCTCATCAGCCTTAATCGTATCATTTGTCATAATCGTGACTTCTATTACACACTACATGCTGCCTAAATGACTGATCTGAGAGAGCAAACCACCACCTGGTGTAGTCTGACAATGGTTTGGGCTCTGAGCACCCATCACTTTACTTCACTTTGCCAAAGAAAGACATTTATCATGTTGTAGCAGCTCTGAGAGACTTTTTAAATCCACTTCCGCCCTCTGGTGGACAAACCTGAGAACTTCAACATGACATTTTCTCATTTCAAATATCTCTGGGACTTTTTGGTGCCTTATTATCAGCTCAAATATAACATATTTACTATATAAATGGAAAAAGCCAAAGCAGAAAAAAGGCTTTTTATCTGTAAACATGGTGTGGTTCAATGTGTATACTTTGACGTGTATTTGCAAATGAGAAACATTGGTAATATATTCAGATTATTTTTGAAATTGTACCTTTTTCTTACCCAGTACTCAGGGCTACAGCTTCCACATAGGACATGAACAATGTTTCTAAAGTGTGTTGTTTTTAAAAATCCTAAGGAGGGAATTGCATAATCATTTCACACTGTTGTGGATATAGTATTGTGTCCAAATCTTGCAAAAAGGTAATATTTTTGGGACTAAATACTCATTTTCTTTGGGAAAATAACACTCACACAAAAGTAAAACCTTTTCCCAGAAGGTACTGCACTTTTAAATTAGACTATTTTAGACTTCAAAGATTGTAATAATCAGATTTGTTATTTCTCCCGCAGAATACAATCATTTGCATTGAAGGAAAGGCTTTGAAATCTCATTTTGGAAATAGTATTGTTCGATAAAATGTGCCAAATGTAAGAAGAGGTTCTCTTAAAGACTTTGTGCCCTGGTCAAAAAACTGGAGGAGTTTCATCCCCATTTCACAACTCTTGTCTACATGTACTTGTCTTTACTTTAAGTTTTTATTTTATTTTATCGAAGTCCATTTCCTCAGGTACTTGCTTAAGTACACATTTAAGGTACTTTTACTTGAGTTTTTCTATTTTATGCATTTCTTACTTCCACTCCACTACATATCATAGGTACATCTTCTTAATAACACATTTTTAAAGTGTGCACAGCAGCCATTATCCCATCTGTATCCAAATATTGGATAATGAAATGATGTAACTGCATGTACAATGCTACCAGAGTATTTAAACACCATTTTAAATAATCTATAAAAACCTTCATAACAACAGCGTAGAAAATGTTCCTTGAAAGGATGATGGAATAAACAGGTTAAGCTTATTAAGGCGCATTAATATGTTCTGTTTGTACAGTGTGCTGCTGCTGCTGATGGTAATCCTGTGTGCTGGCATTAAGCTCCTGAATACAGGTGTACATATAAAGTCATCGATTTAAAGCTGCAGCTCAGGGCAGAGGATGACACCAGGATAATATTTATATCAAGGAGAAAACATCTTAACAAAGTACTCAATGAAACTGCATGGCGTACACATTACATTACATTACATTGCATTTAGCTGATGCTTTTATCCAAAGCGACTTACAATAAGTGCATTCGACCAAGAAGATACAAACTTGAAGAAAACAGAATCATATAAGTACATCAGGTTTCATAGAGCCAGAACATTTCAAGTGCTACTCAACTGGCTTTAGATAAGCCAGTCCTTTGTTAGTATATAAGTGCTTTGTTAGTAATTATATCGCTCGAAGTGGAGTCGAAAGAGATGAGTTTTCAGTCTGCGCCGGAAGATGTGTAAGCTTTCTGCTGTCCTGATGTCAATGGGGAGCTCATTCCACCATGTTGGAGCCAGGATAGCAAACCCACGTGTTTTTGCTGATGGGAACTTGGGTCCCCCTCGCAGTGCGGGTGCAGCGAGCCGTACACATATTAATAATAATAATAATACAGCTTTATTTATATAGCACTTTTCATACAGCACGTGCAGCTGCTTTACAAAATGGCGTCACATCACAAATTACAAATAAACAACAAGAAATTCCCCTCAGATCAGATGTTAAGACCTAGCAACAAAATATAACATTTGAACAGGTTAAGAGACACAAGGAGGTCAAAGGTATGATAATACAAATAAAATGAAATAAATAATGATTCCTCTCGGAAAAATAAGACACAAGACTAAGTGAATCGATGCAACAATATGAAACCCTATAAAATGAAGACTTAAACTAAAAGACCATTTAAAGGGGGAGGTTGCTAATAAAAAGCTCATCTAAAAGGATGTGTCTTTATAGCTGTCGTTTGGGGAGGAATACTTGTTTCATGGATGATCACAGACAAAGTCTCTGTGGCTCATGGATAACAGGAAGTAACCCCGATGAGTAAAGGTCGATTATACATAAAGCATAATTGTCAACAGTGGTGAGATGATCAGAGTCTCTGTACGCCGTGTGCCTGCCAATACAGACGGAGGAAAGCCGATTACTCGTTCCCTTTGTCAGCAGAATTGTCCCTGCTAGGTCACCGTGGGGGAGAAAAGTCCCCACAACAACACAGAGGCTTTATGCAGCGCTGAAAAAAATATCGTGATCATTACAGGCAGAAAAACGTGGAATCTGGATGACACAACAATAAAACCAAGAGCGAAATATGTACCGTTCTGATCAGTATGAAGGCGAAGTATCAAGACTGGACAAACAGTTCAAGGCAGGCACAACTGACACGAGAAGGGCCTTAAGCTTGAAATGTGTTTGTTTTATTTTCCTTAAAATAAAGAAAAAGCTTTGTTAATTCATCCTAAAGGCCTAACAAACCTACTTGCATTTCCTTCCTCAGATTCATTTGCAAGCAGGGTTTTATTAGTTTTATTTGGAAACTTGAATTGTTTAAAATCACATTAACTTGTTTTGCAGTTTTCTTGCATTCTTGAAATCTTACCGCCTCTCAAGGAATTAAATTGTTACCGACCGCATACCAAATAACAGGTCAATGTTGCTTGTCGCAGGTAAACGTTATAGGCCACCTTGGCAGATTATTTGTTAATGCATTACGGTAACCATCCGTATTTACTATCTGACTCAGTGTTTACCATTCTGATTGGCCAGTAAAATGTTCATGTTTATTAGCGGCTTGGTTTTTTGCAACTTTCTCAGTAAATGTACTAAAACTGTACAATTAACCTCTACTGTTTTCTAGACTAGACATACATATATATGATCCTAAGTTTAAAACAAAATGTATGATATTACATTTAAGTTGTTTACACAGTGAACTACAAAATGTATGGAGCTATTTGTCCACAGCGAGTTGCATGAGGAACACAAACAGCATTACATATGTTCAGAAGGGCAGTTGATTAATCTGGGTGGATGCAGACTCACTGTTGGAGGTTTTGGGATCTTTCAGTCAGGTTTAAGGGCATAATTGGAATTGGGCCGATGTCTTCATGCCACCTCCTCCATCCTACATGGCACCTTATTTGCCTGCAGAGGGCAGCAAGGCTATTAAGCTGAATAATTCCAGTGTGACCCTTACAAATGGGCCATCTGACGCCACAGAGCCTAGAGATAATCCCAGTGGCTTAGACTGGCACCCTGCTGAGAGGCCGTTAATGGGTGGATGAAGTGATAGAAAGTGCAGCGCAGACTTCTAAGGAGTCTACGGACAGCGTTTCACGGTCCAAATACAAGACAGAACATTGATGGAGGAGACATGTTATGATTCACTCAGAAGACACTGTCAGGATAGCACAGGGGACGAAGAATCAAATGAAGAACCTGAGGACATTTCAACTTTGATTGAGGGCCAGAAAAAGTGGAGGGAAGCTGAAGCAGGAAAAGATAAATATCCTGACGATGTGACACATCTTGACAAAGAGGGAGAAGATGAAAAAGCAAAGGACATTTATGGTTTTGCCGAGACAGAGTCCAAACTAAACACAACAAATATTGATGATGTGGAGACAAAAGCCCCGACACTGTCTTGTCTGAGTGATGACTATTTCGAGTCCTGCCATAACAAGATGGAAGCATCAATGTACGATCAGCCACAGGTATCAACGATCCCAAGAGAGATGTTTATTGATGATGAAGAGGATGTTGACGACTATACCTTCAGAAAACACAACTGCTTGAAGAGAGATAGTGGCACCAGCCAAACACAAGGGTCCCTGGACTCTGAAGACTATGAAGAGATTGTGACAAAGAAAGATGGGAGTATAAGAATAGCTACTGAAATCCAACAAGGAGAGCAACTGCTTCAACGTCTGCAACAGGTGCAGCTGCGACAAGACGTATGTACACCAGAGAGTCCTTGTACCTCCAAGACGGTTGTCCAAGAGACTGGAGGTGAGACAGAGGGTGAGCTTGGGGATGAAGAAGATTATATGAAGGCAAGAGAAGACGATCTGCCAGGTGGAGTTGAGACAGAAGAGAAAAGATTTGACCCTGTAGAGCATCAGGCTGCCAAGATGATAAAGAATGAAATAAATGAGAGTAAATATGTAAAAGCAGGGATGTCCTCGTACACAATGTTTGTAGAGTCAGAGTATAACGCAAATTCAGAAGACTCCGATGATGACCCAAGTTACAGCTGCGTACATGAAGACAAATCTCCAATCGACCCCATTGAAACTTCTACCGAAATTCCATTCCTATCTACCTGCCGCCGACTCTCCGTTGACGAGCCCTTGTTGGAGAGGCAGATCTTCGAGGAAGCAAAGGAGAAACAGAACTTGCAGAGATCTGGTGGCCTCTTATATCTCACGGATAATCCAGATGTGCTAGAGTTTCCCTTTAAGACCAATATCTTGCTGGAGCCATTTGAGCCGACAAAGGATGGCCCAGACCAGCAGCGCAGCGACTGGCAGTTCTCCGAGCAGAAGATGAAAAAGGAGATAAGTCAGGAGTTTCAGAGGGAGCTGGTGCTGGTCAACCAGGGGAAGATCCCAGGTGGGTACAGCAAGGAGGAAACCCGCCAGTTAAAGGAGACAAAACTGCTGTTTGAGGCTTTCCAACAGGACAACACAGAGGGTCCGAGAAAACACCGGAAACCACCTACTTCGCCGACGAAAGGTCACGTCTACCCTTCTGTGCTAGAGCGCACACGTAGCATGAGGTTGCTGTCACTGAAAAGCTGCCCTGTTTCCAGATCACATTCCCTCAGACTGCTTCAAGACAATGAGAAAAGTCCTGAAATCTCCAGATCGCTGAGTTCAACAGGTGGTTCTCTAGACAAAAAATGCTTATGGTCTTTCACAAAACAAGACCTGAAGGCAAGCCAGTACAGATCGATGGACTCCATAAACAAAGATGTCTTTACATGCGATGTAGGTGCTAGGAGTAAAACTCTGGATGGAAACACAAAACAAGAATCTCCAATCCTTAAACATAACCCTTTCTTCAAGTTGCGTCCAGCTCTCGCTCTGAAGCCAGAAGTATTGAAAGAAATCCGGGAAGCCAAAGAAAGAGAGGAAGAGCTGCGCAGACAGAGATGCACTTTGTACGGAGAAAACGGGAAAAGTAATGAAGACGAAGAAAAATCACGATTCGAATCAATGCTCGCACCAGGTAAGTCTGCATGGTCTCTGTCATACAATGGTACAATTGTACTGCATTTGAGTACAATTATGAGGTACTTACACTCCATTTTATGTCAGTTTACATTTTTTGCTTCACTACTTTTCAGAGGGCAATCATGGCACAATCCAGTAGAATAAATAATATACTTCTCAAATGGTTACTTTTACTAATTTATCAAAAATATAAGTACTTTTGTTCCTTCCGATTCCCCTGTAAAGTATTTTATAAATGCATGACTTTAATTTCTACTTTTTCCATGACTTTGTTTCTTATTTTACTTGTCAAATGATAAGTATTCTCTGTGCGACTGCATGCACCATAGAGGTTAATTTGCACATTAATTAAACAATCTCCAAAGTTATGATACATTTCAGTGACAATCTGTTCATTTGGATAAACATTACTGACAACGCTTAGAGAAAAATAAATGGAAAGTAATAAAAAATTCATGGATAATTTCCATCAGACTGCTAGGATGCATCACTATGTCTGATAAGAGTCATTTAGATCTTTATTCATTCCACATCCCGGCCTTCTGACACTCAGTCTGAGCACTTTAATGAATGCCTCTCTACATTAGCATCACATAGTGTTATCTAAGCAGTCTTATCGACAATTTAGTGTCAACCCTGTCACAAGCGGTTAAGGGCGAATCACTCCAACAGCCGTCTGATCTGAGTCAGCAAATGCCAGTGGGCTGAGTGACAACATGA